AACATCGTTATACATTAAAAAAAACAAAACCAAAACCCAATTCTGTTAGGTCAAGGAACATGCCAAGGGATCTAGCTGTGGCCAGCAGCAACAAGAGAAGCTGGACTGGGGATGAGATGACTGGATATACTGGCTGGTGACTGGAGACTGGCACAGTTAAGGGGGTTTCACTGGGACTAAAATGCACAAAGAAGCCCAACAATAATTTAATTCACATTTTTGTTGCCTCCAGCTTACTCTTTTCCCTCTCCGGGGTTTCCCCATGGGCAGCACCTGGAGTGAAGGCACTGCAGGAACAGGGCAAAGAAGCTGTCCAAGGACTCGGTGGAGCCAGGGTTATAGGTCAGGATAGCACAAGCATGCAGCAGCTAAACGAATGCTTAACGAAATCACTCTTCTGGGGACTTCAGCAACCCTCAGGAAGACTGTAGGGACAGTTGCCACACAGGCTGGCAGCACCAGAGTCAGCTGCTTTGTGTTTTAGTGCAACCAGGTTTGGAGTGGAGACCTGTGGGACACTGAGCTCCTGTGATAGCACACAGCAGGTAACAAAACCCAGAGCAGTAAGTACTGTTGCATTATAAACCATTCACATTTGTTTTGTGTTTTTTTTTCATGGTACATTTCCTCCAATACTTGGAACTTGTTTACCAGGGACCTCTTGGTGGGGCTGAGGTACCATCCGGCCTGGAACCCTCTTATCTGTCATCGAGATGCTGTGGGAGTTATTGTGTCCATGAGTGGAGATGAGAACCCTCCGAAACTGGATTTCACCTTGTGAGCAAAACTCGAACATAATCGAATGAAAATCAGCTATTTTCCATACTCTGATGGTGTGGAAGTTGTGATGGATGCAGGAGCAGCAGGTGCTCCTCCAGCTGCATTCTCTCCATCCCTGCAGGGTGCACAAAGCTCCCGTTGGATTTGCATATAAAATGCTTCATGGTTGTCTCAGACAGAGACCAGCACTGGTGGCAGAGCTCTCACACCCAGGGCTGGAGGGGGAAACCTCCAGCAACCACGAAGCGCCTGAAGCCCTCATATAAAAACCTTAAACCATAGCTTAAAAACAATAACATTTCATCCCAAGGGACATATAGGGATCATAGTCTTATAAAATATATCTTAACTGCATTGGCAGCTATTACTTTTTTAAAAAGTTTAAATTTATACCTTTTAGACTCAAGATACAACGTGAACCCAGAAGCACTTTCAATAACCGAGTCTACTAATCTCTCACTATGAGAGACTTGAGCATGGTCTCTGCGAGCCTGACAGCTGAACTCACACTGAGCTGCACAGCCAGATCACCAGAACACACAGCCCTCACGTGCTGCAACAACAGGGACAGGCAGTTCTGTCAGCCAGCTCAAGTTGCTAAATGTGTAGACATCCCCATGGCTTTCCAGGGGAGTTGTGCTATGTGTCTGCATCAAAAACTCAAAGCAAACCCTTACACCGTGGCCAAATCTCCTGCACAGCTACACATCTTTTTTTTCTTCCACTTTACAGGCAAATAGTGTCTGATTTTTTTCTTCCCCCCTCTCCCAAAACACCATGTAAAATCAGGAAAAAAACTCTCCCCTCCTTCCCCATTGTTCCCATCAGAAGTTCTGCTCTACACTATGTGCAAGGAGGGAAGGCCCTGCAGACTCTGAGGCTCCTGCCCCTGGCACACAGCAGAACTTTGCTAGCTCTGTGGTAGTGAAGGCACTCTGCTTGCAAAATACAGGGGTGAGGGAAGGGTTTTCCACCGAGTGCAAAGGTTGGTGCCACCTGGGAGAAGGATATGCAAAGACATCAATCACCTGGGAATGGATTTGGAGATTACTCAGTGACAAAGAACCTGCTGCAATGGGCCATACATGGGGCTGAATGGAAGAGATTCTAAACTACTTGTAAGGATGAACTTCAAGCTCTTTTCCAACCTTAATGATTCCATGAAGGAACTGGAGTATTGGCCATGCAGGCTGAGAGTGATCAGACTGTTTGGAGAAGGCTCAGGGGGATCTTACCACTGTGTAAACCTACTAGAAGGGGCCAAGAAGATGCACCCGGACCTTTCTCAGGGGAAAAAATCAAGCAATCCCATCTAACACACTACAACTACAACAGGTTGCCCAGAGAAGCTGGAAGTGTTCCAGGCCAGGCTGGATGGAGCTTGGAGCAACCTGTGCTACTGGAAGGTGTCCCTGCCCACGGCACGGGGTGGAATGAGAGCCCTGAGGACCCTTCCAAGCCAAACCATTCCACGATTCTTTCTTACGGTCAAACACTGGAACAGGTTTTCCAGAGAATCTGGGAGTCTCCACCTTTGCAGCTATTCAGCTATCCTGCTTTGAGTAGATCACCTGGAACTCACCTCCAGAGTCCCTTCCAATCTCAACTGTTCTGTGACCCTTGGCAAGCAGAAATATAAATACCAAAGAATTGATTTTTGGGGGTTAGGGAAAAAAAGGAGAGTTCAAAACCCCCTGATAATGTACTGACAGACATTTATGCTTTAGGTTTAATCCCAAGTGTAGTTAAGGCAAGTTTTTTCTAGCTTAGTTAGGTACCTCTTTCACTCTATTTGGAATCTAAGCACATGAGCAACAGAGCCTGTTTGAAGATGTTCTGTGTCTTCCCTTCTCTCCTGGTGAAGAACACCAGCATTTCAAAGAACTGAACACTTCCAGCAAGTTAGGGAGGAGAAACAAAACAGTATTTGCATTTAAACTGTGTTAACTTCTATGAAGAAAAGAGATGAACAAGAAACAATTACAAACAGGAAAATTAACAAGTAAACCAAACCCTAAAACAAACAAATAAAAGCCTCCAAGACCTCCTATTGTTTCTCCAGTTGAACCAGATTGGAAAGTGAGAAATAAATGAAGATGTTACCCAGAGATTACAGGGTTGAAAAGATAATGTGTAACACACAGTGCAATGAACAATGAACCCCAGGCCCTGCCTTGTACCAAGGTGTTAATGACACTCATTTCTCTGCAAGGAAGAACAGATTAGAGCAACAAAGTCTTGGTAACTTGTTTTTCCCTTCTCTTTGGTATTCAGAAAGCAGTTTGCCTTCTGACTCAAACCTTAACTGTTGAAGAGCCAATATCCAGATGTGTCTGCACATCTCCTCACCAAGGAACTGCTCAGCTGAATGCTTAATGGGTGAAAAGAATCAGATTCTAACAGAAGATGATGTCCACCACTTTATACCTGACCACCTCTGATCCATGACACCTGTGCAGCCAGGAGAGGTGGCTGTGGGTGAATCCCCAGAACACAACTCCAAAGGTTCATAACACTTGCATAACACTTGCCAGAAAATCAGCAATTCAGTGTCTGAGTTCAGTGCCACAGCCCTGCAACCCAGGAGAAAGCACAGCAAAAGGCATTGTCCTGTCTCACTGGCTCCTCAGCTCTAGAAATCAGACGTGGAAGAGAACTTTTAAGTGCAGCTCATGAGCAGGCACTGGGCTCAGCCACAGCACAGCAGCCCAGGAAAGCATTTCTCCCTCAAGCCCTTTGAAGAAGCCTTCCAAAGGCAGCCACAGGAGACTGAACTGCAGCAGAGAACTTCTCTGCAACATGTTTCTAAAATGCCCTTTGGATCTGGTGGAGAAACTTCATTCCAGTAACTTGGAAAGGACTTAAACAGAGCAAAACCATTTGGGATTTAACTAAAATATGTGGGTTTTACCTAAAACACAGCAGAGAAAAATTGTTCAAGTCGCTGAAACCCTTTAAGCTCTTTCCAAGGGTCAATAAACTTTTTTTTTCCCCTTTACAAAAAGTTGGCTATTAATGGAAAGAACTCAGACCCAGAGAGTATCAGAGCTGCCTAAGCTAACTGAATACAAATTGATCTGCACTAGAATACGACTTTTGTGTGTTCTGTTTCTTCAGGACCAACCTTTCTCCATCGGTTTCCATTTCCTCCTCATGTTTGCATAAAACAGATCCAGACAGAAAACAACAATTTACCCAAACCAAGACTCAAAAAACTAAGGGAGTGTATCAATGCCTCTGGAATACTAACACCAAGCAATACCTACTCACTCAGCACATCATCTGTAGGCCACGGGCATTTGGCATCAAACGCTGACTGAACTTCAGAAGCTGTAAGAAAAACCACAAATCTAATGTACTTCCTAATTTAGGTTTCAAAGCAGTACTTGAGCCCAAAGAGCCTTGACAAAACAAGACTCAGTGCTCTGAAAAAAAAAAAATCCCACATTTTGCAGCTTTTTCTAAATATGGAAAAAATGCAATTGCAAATCTTTCAATTTTATTGCTTGCTTGAGCTGTGTGTGGAGCTGCAGTAATGGCCTTTAATAAACTGAGTTGGCAAGGATTGAAAGTGTTTGGAAACAGGAACAATTCATCATTGCTATATAGGCTTTCTGTAAACAACCCCCTGTTGGTTAGAAAGTTGGCCTTAAAGAGAATAAATTGCTTGCTTTGTCCAAAACAAGACCAATAAAAATCTCTGAAACTATACATGCATGTGTATAAACAAAAAAATGTGCAATAATGCACAAGAGCTTATTTTTTTTTGCCTATCTGTAAACTCCCTCTTAGCTACAGTATGTATGGCAGGGGGAAGTGATCAGAGCTGCAAATGATCTGGCCATGACTGAGGAATTTCAGTGTGGGAAACCCTTCTCCTGTGTGGTTCCCCTTCTACAGACAGATACAGTCAGGAGCTATTTGTCAGGCTTGCATGGTTATACACCTTTCCACTATCCTCAATTACACCATTAGACCTTCCATGCCTAACCTTAGCTGGGCAAATCTGGACAGGCTGTTTGATCAGCAGTTTCTAAAAGGACTGGAATAGAAGAAGTAGGAACACCTGGCACGATTCACTTGGTTTGTCACAACTGATTCATCTGAGCAGGAAAGGGATGGTGTGTTTTGAAGAAGTGTGTGACTGTTAGTTTCAAAACTGCTTACCATTTCCAAGCACAGGGTCACAGTAAGAGCTTTGAAAAGCAGCAGGCACAGATAGGAAGTGTCATCTTTTTTATGCAGAAGATTAAAGCATCCACTCAAAACTAGTCAAAACTGTTCAATTGTGATCTCCAATGCATCCTTTTGTTTGTCATTTGGAAAAGGTTTCCTCTGATTTCCCTCCCTTAACCAGAGGGTCTGCAGGAGCAAGAGAAACTTAATGAGCTGCTCTAACTGTGGAAGAAAGAATAGTTAAAGTGATCTGAATCAGTTGTTCTTCTTTAGAAGTGTATCACAGCTTCCATGATGTTCTGACAAGATCTCTTTTTTTTTTTTTTTTTGTGCAATCAGTCTTAAATATTTTCACAGAAGTGATCATTCAGTCAGGAAAAATAAGGTAACATCTGTCGCAGGTTTCTGTTTAAAGCGTAGCTTACAAAGTAAAAAGGGGAAATCCTCCCCACTTCTCTTTAAAAAAATTAAATTAAAATGTACAGGACCAAACACAGGCACTTTCCAAAGAACAAAAATGAAACCAAACCATGAATTATTCGATAGTGATCGATGACAGCTCCGGTTTCGGAGGGTCACCCGCAGCTGCCTCAGCAGTGGCATTAGTCTTTGGCTGCTCTGGCACATCTTCTTCCTTCTCTGCCAACCCACCCAGAGACCCCAAGGGGAAAGTGCTTTCACAATTCTGAGTTGAGGACACCTGTGAAATGACAGGCATTTGGACAGAAGAGTTGCTCTCAAAGCCATGCTCCCCTAGCTCATACTGCCCGAGGGTCTCCTCTTGCTCCTGGTTTAAGTAGTCCGGGACTAGGAAGTCACTAGAAGAGGGGCAAAGGACAGAAGAGAAATGTCATTTCTCACACAAACATCAGCAATATCAGTTACATCACACAAGCTACACACTGCATTGCACAGAGAACAAAGAGACTCATTGCACATTGCTCCAGGATCACAGCAGTGACAGACCTCACTGAGCACTGTGACCTGGGTCTCATTTCAACACACACAAGAATTTAGACACATTCATATTTCCTGCACAGCAACTTCTTATTATTTAGGTTGTATCACCTTGATGAGAATGAAAGTTAAATGTCTGGAACATCATATGGCACTGAAAACCTCATTGAAAAAAGGGAGCATTCAGCCTTTAAAAATAGAAACAAAAACGAGTTCAGCACTGGCAACACGTGAGCCTTTGCCACCCCTGAGGAGAGATCCAGCCAAGAGCAGCAGCAGAGCTCCCTTCAGAGTGGACAGGCTGGAGACAGAGGCACGAGGGGAGGCAGCACGGGCTCTGCTGAGGGCAGAGGAGCTGCCAGCTGCAGTGGGGGTGTGATGCCAACACCATCGTGCTGCAGTGAACAGACTGGTACTGCATTTCCTTCCCCTTTCAGTCCCTTCTGGACAACACTTCTGGAATGAACTCTTACCAGCTGATGGCTGAGTGGATCCAAAGAAATCCCACCAAACTCCAGTAGTGTTTTTAGCACCAGACATGAAGTTTGTACTTGAGACAAGTACATATACTGTCCATGTATGCAGCTTTGTGTGCTTTGGTTCCTCCTGGCAATACCCCATCAAAAGGCAGTGCTGAAACACTGCTTCAATCCCAACTCACTATGAGCTATGCTAAACCTCCTGTGGGTCAGTTCAAGCTGAGGGAAGGCCTCTAGGCAGCTAAAATCACACCCTTTAATCTGACTTTAATGTGACAACAACAATGCAGAGCTTAGCACAACCACAGCATCACCCTCAGAGCTTTCACTCCAGTCCTGGCACAGGAGCCAAGAACAAGATCTGCGTAAAGCCACAGATCTGAAGCACTTGTACATTTAAACAATATTCTGCTGCAAAACCACTGATTGGCTTTCCTGCTTTGTTTTGCAATTTTCTTCAGCCTACATCACCTCTGAGTTAATCAAACAGAACAAGATGCTGAAGTGTTTCTTAGGGGAAAAAGAGTAATGTCTGGAGATGAGGAGGGTGGGATTGTGGTGCTGGGAGTGTTAGAATACACTTCTTTGCTCTGCTGAAGGCTTACACACACCAAGCTGCACTCTCTCTGTAGGTTTCAGAGCTGTGAGATCTTTCTTTCTTCCCTTTTGTAGTTTCTACCTCCAATTCCAGTGGTTACATTTATATCAATGAGACAATTCAGTGCTCATCTCAAGACCCCCTTCACAGTCTTTAGTGTACTTGCAAAGTGTGTGATATGCCAAGTGTTTTGTGTCCTGCTAAACAAATAATGTCCAACTGGCCCTTACTATTTCTAACCCTATTAATCATTTCCTTGCTATTTCCAACCCTATTAGTCTAATAATTTCTTTACTATTTCCAAGCCTATTAGTCTAATCATTTCTTTACTGTGTCCAACCCTTTCAGTCTAATCATTTAGTCATGTTACCTAGAGAATGACAAAGGAGAAGGCATGGGGTCATGCAATCTTTCCACAATACTTGAAATGAGGTGTAAGTCTGTGCCCTGGGTAAGTGAACAGGAGATTTTTGAATAGCAAATCATTTACAGAACTCACAGACATTGCAGGATAGAACACTATGGTTCAACACTATGGTTCACCCCATTAGCCTGGCCAGAGATACTACTGAAAAGAGACATTAAGTAGCCCAGAAGTAGCCTCTGCCATACCCCTGGATTCTTCAGTGCCCTCCTATATAGCTGTAAGACAGATCAGATACAACAGAGAGTGCTGCAGGAATCACTCTGCCTGGAATTAGCTGGCAACCTGAGGAGAGGCACAGCAGGCTGCCCTGCAAGCAGGAAATGATGATTTAGGGTTAAAAAAAAAAAAAAAAAAAGAAGAAAAAAGGCGAAAAAAAAATTAATATATTAAAAAAAAAGCAAGTTTCCCTGTTAGGTTTTTGCTGTGCACCTCACCTGCTCTGGAAGTAGTTTGCTAGCTCTGACGCTTCATGGTTCAAGCTCCGCAGGTGAACGATTAAATTTCCAGAGTTGGTGAACATGGCGCCACATGTTTTGCACTCGTAAATCCGAGGCTTGCGGATAATGTGCCGGGAAACCCGCATGTGGTGTTTATATTCCCCGAAGGAAGTGAAAGTGGCACTACATATCTGGCACCGGAAACAGCGTTTACCTTCGTGCTTCAGGCGATGCATCTTGAGCGAGTAAGCGCGGGTGAACTTTTTCCCACAACGATCGCACTGAAAGGGTTTAATGCCTGTGGGGAGAGAGCAAGGACATGTTCACCTTCTGGGCTGACTGGGCATGGCCAAGAGCCTGCCAGAGTCTACCAGCACAGGGACTGCAGTGATGCTCTGCTGGAGGAAGAAATGCTCAGGTTAACTATAGAGAATCAGAGAATGAATTATAGGATGTGAAGGGGTTGGGATGGAGCTTGGAGATCATCTAATCCCAACCCCCTGCCCAGGGCAGGGACATCTCCCAGCAGAGCAGGTTGCTCAAGGCTTGATCCAGCCTAGCTGTGAACACTAATCAAAGCCAAAATCATCGAATCATCCAGGTTGGAGGAGACCTCTAAGATCATCAAGTCCAACCATTAACCTGTCACTGCTGGTACCTCTAAACCCTGAACCAGATCCTCCAGTGCCAGATCCAGACACCTCTGAAACACCTCCAAGGCTGGTGACTCCACCACCTCCCTGGGCAACATTCCAGTGCCTGATCACCCTAAGAGGGAAAAAATTCTTTCTAGTATTTACTCTGAATCATACCCCTATATTACACCCTCTAGTCCTCTCACTGTGCAGTCTACAACCTCCTCTCTCCAATCCCCTGTCAGGGAGTTGGAGAGAACAGGAGCTCACCCCTGAGCCTCTTCTCCAGGCTAACCAAGCCCAACTCCCTCAGTTCTTGCCCATGTTTTCCAGCCCTTTGCTGCCCTCGTTGCCCTTGGCTGGACTCGCTCCAGTGCCTCAATGGCCTTTGGGCAGTGAGTGCCCAAAGCTGAGCACAGCACTGAGCTGGGACCTCCCCAGTGCCCAGTGCAGGGGGATGAGCACTGCCCTAGTCCTGCTGCCACACTGCTCTTGAGCCAGGCCAAGATGCCCTTGGCCTCCTTGGCCACCTGTGCACTCTGTTGGCTCCCACTGAGCTATGCCACCAGCACTGCCAAGGCCCTTTCTCACCAACAACTCTCCAGTCACTCCTCACCCAGTGTGAGCTGCATGAGGTTGTGTGTCCCAAGTGCAGGACCAGCACAGGGAGCTCCTGTCCCCCTTTGTGAACAGATGAAGAACAGACACACATGTAGTGTGCTCAGCTAAGAACTGCAGTTGGGTTTTGTGACAACGGAGAACTTCATTGAACCTCAGATGGCAGGAACAGTTAGAATGGAGCTACACTGTCTCAGAACCAACCACCACCAATTTCCTAGCTGTGACCTGTCCATAATGCTTCCCCATCTCCTTCCCCACAGCTTAAACTGAACACAAGCCTCCACGGATTAGACCATGGTTTAGCCCCTGAGCCACAGCCAACAAGTATCTGATGCAGCAGTGATCTCACACCGTCTTTGAACTCCTTTGATCTCGGGGGATTCTTGTGCCAGACTGGTTCCCAACAAAGCAATTATCAGCCTACCCTTAATTGCAAGGGTTTTTTCTGGCTGCCTTTGGCCTCGGAGAAGTGCTCTGGCAGGGGGACTGTGTGCACACGGATGCCCCTGTAATGCAGCAGG